TTTTAACTGATCTAGTAAATAAAGATGGTAGAGATGTTAGCGACTTAAATCATTCAGGTATTATTTCTGTTGACAAAATAGATTTCACTAATTTGTTCTGTTTTCAAGTACTATAAAACTAATTTCATAAAAAATTAAAGTTCGGAGATTTTATACTTGACTCACTAAACTGGAAAAAAAAAAGGTAGCATTTGTAATTTAATTTCATTAGTCAATAATTACTTATCACATGATTGCAGGATGTTTCTAAGGGTGGGGAGGGGAATGTGGCACACTGTGTACTAGGTGAATTCCAGTTGGACTGTCAATCCCTTACCGCTAGAAATTTTATTGCATGAAATCTTTGTTAAGTAACATAAACTAATTACTGTAAAGTCAGCTTGAAGGCTAACAATTTTATTTACTGTCTTTAATTAAATGAAGTGCAAATGGAAAGAAGAGAAGCCCCTGAAAGACTTAAAACCTGTGGTTAAAAGAGCTTCGGAAGAAGTTTACAGCTGGCACCAGGCACGTAATCATAGACTCAGATATCAACTCCTGAAACACAGTCTGTGGATCCAATGGAACAAATACGAGGAACATTCAGCTTTTTGAAATAATTATTAGGAGCCAGTTAGTAGTGAATGATATCTCCTATGTCTTCTAGTGCAAGCAGGGCGTTGATGTGACCCTAGCAAATTGCATATTGGATTGCACTCTCCGATCTGAATTGACTTTTGAATACTATGTGATAGCTTATTTTTCTATAGACTGATAAAAAATTTAGTCAGTTCCTATGGTATTGATAAGAGTTATACAACTCATTATTATGGATGATCTTAAGGCAGGGGAACCACTCTTGCTTAGGATACCCCATGATTGTAATGAGAGGGCTGCAGGAAAGTATGTAAATATTAAATGTGCTTCTCCTATTTCATATATCAGCTGTCTTCTATAGTGTTTGGAGGCTGACTTGTATGAACTATTGAGGAGCTATCTTCCATGCAGGGCATTAAAGTATAAAACACAAGAAATGGTTATCTGCTGGTCTCTGTTTTTGATCCCTCTCTGTGAAAATTGACTTTCAGTGAGCTGCTGAGTGTTGATAGAGGAGGTTTTCCTACACGGCTAATATGGTGGCCTTGAACAGCAGAGCCAGATTTAAAGATGATGAAAAAGGAAGGCCAAAAGAAGACAATGGCTAGTGAAATTAGAAAAAAGAGAAGCAAATAGTACGCTTAGTAAAGGTTAAAAAAATATAAATTCTCCAATGCTAAACTCAGGTCGTGAGTTAATCAAGGTTCAATAGATAAGGTCATTAAATGTAGATGGGTGGAGCACACACTTATAAAGGAACATTGTGGCTTAATTCGATAGAAGGCTTAGAGTAACTCCCCAAGCACAGTGAAGACATGGGCAGCCTAGAGATACGTGTAAGCAAACTTCAGAGCTGATTGTAAGTGAAAAAATTTGTCTAGAAGGAAAACATTTTCAGAGAGTAGAATGGTTCAAATTTCTTAGTTCCACAATAACTTGAATAAATGGCTAACTGTCAAAAATGGACCAGCTATAACAAAAGAAAACAGAACTTTTTTTCTTTTTCAATATTATATATAAAATATATATGGTTAATATTATTATTAGCGTCAAGAGATCCTCCTGGGACCCACCCAGCCTCTATAGATAGAGCATCTGTAATAAATTAATTTATTTAGAGAAAAATCTTGTGGTTGATTGTGATCCTGACCCTATCATCCCACTGCACAATTTTTACCTTTGAAACTGTACTTTAAAAAGTACTAGATCCAAATCTTTCATGGGTTGTAGTACAGATTTTTTGTATCGTTTACATGTACTTCCATTTATCTTCTGTCCGTTCAGTTTCACATTTTCTGTGAAAGTTAGTAAAATATTGTTTTCAACTGGAGCACATACTGATATTCATTAATAAAAATTAAAGGCATAATTATAATTATAAGACATTATAACACAGCTTTTAAATGAATACAAATTATGTCTATAGGAATGCAACTATAAATAAAATGTCTATTTTTTTGTTTTAAGGATCTGAAAGTGAAGATTCTGAAAGTGAGTTAAATGAAAATCGTGAAGAAAAAAAAAGAAGTGTAAAAAGAACTGAAGGAAATACTAACTATAATAAAAAAGTTAAAACTTAATTTAATAAAGAGAACATGGCAAGGTTAATTAATTTGTTATTAACTTATTACCATTTATCATTTAAGTTCTTATTAATATTTTAACAGAAGAGTTTTGTATATTTATGTAATCAGTAATAAAGGTTAAATGGTGAAACCATTTATAATTTCTAGCCACTTATTGGTTGTTATTATTTTTGTATATAATATTAGCAGAGAAAAATTGTCAATTACATTTGGCATGACATCAGAGGAACATGTACTGCACCAACTTTACCTTAAATAAGGTAAAACATTAATAAAAATTCAATTAGAATTAGGATAGATAATTGAAAATCATAGAATTTGCCGATTAGAGATTGACAATAAATCTTCGGCATTCATGGCATACAAGTGATTGAGAATCATACCAAAGCCTTTAACAATAACAGACCCTTCAAGAGAAATTTTCAACATTAATGTGAACTACAGTGTCAGTTCTGATGGTGGATGTTTGCAAATGGGTCTAATGGTCATCAAATTTATTTTGTTTTTACAGTCTATTATTTATGAAAAACTTAAAGATTTTGACAGCTTATATTGCATCAGTAATAGAAATAGAAGCCAACAGGTTTATTTATATAATTAAAAAAATAAATTCCACATAGTTTTAAACTAGGGAATGGCAAATCACATAAATTTAAACAAAATTTCAAACATCTAAAGAAAAGTTATGAGAAAATTTTCCTGGAATAAACATCTAGCCTTGCTCCATTTAAAAACTGTGGTATATCATTTGAATTCAAAAAATTATATCAATATCAGTGGATAGTGAAATTGCAATAATAAGGCTTACAAATCCCAAAGGTTCATTCTTTAGCATCCTATAACTCTACTGAATCCAATCCAAACCCAAATCTTATTATATTAGATACTAATTCCAATGTTTTGGTGGTTTTTGTAGACTAGGCCAGAGGTGATTAAACTTTTTTCTCGAGAACCCTTATTGGACCCGTTATATATAAAAAAAAAATTCACAGTACCTTAATAATTTTAAAGCACCATCATCAGAAAAAAATATCATAGCAATCTCATCCTTAAAGAAGAATATTGTAGAATTTATATCACTTTTTGGTGTAGTATATATATAAACCAAATAAAATTTTCCATTTATTATCTTATTGATAGATTTTAATTCTGTTTTTAATAAACATAACTTTGTAGAATGTCTAGTCACCAAAATCTCAATTTTGACTTTGAATATTATATTTTTGCAGGGTCCCACGTCACCAGTTTGAGAACCCCTCAAGTTGGCACAAACAAGTAATTTCGTGACCAAGAAATAACAAGGATCCCACCTTTGATCTTGCTTTTATTATTTCTGCATTTTGTTTTGTGTATCTACTCTAAATACTAAACTCCTCTACATATTTTCAATTTAAAACAAAAGTGAAATTGCATATTTAAGGTTAGTATATGCCTGGGAATTTGTAGCAACTTCTTCAAAATCGGCTAACCAGAAGTGGCACTTTATATTATTGATTTAACTCATTTTTACGACTTTCTCGAAAGCGGCTCTAACGATAAATGATTCACATCATTTAAAAGATGATCGATAACGTTTTAGGTGTTTATAACAACAAAAAAAAATTGGCTTAAGGGTGTCCATTACTAGTCATTTACCCTACATGGTGTCCCGTAAGTAGAGGGAAATTTGGATAGGAGTGATAGCAGACCTCAAGACGTACAAAAAAGTACATATAAACAATGGGACAATTTTGAGCAGAAAACTAGGAAATCCAAGTTTTGTGTTTTTTTAAGAGTCATGTTTTTGTTGAATAGGAAGCGATTACTAAAGAAATATTTAATTTAAGTAATTAACAATTGACTCTAATAGTTGGAAAAAAAACCTGTACCACTACAACCCATGAAGGGTCTTGGGTTGAGTACTATTCGGGGAAAGTACTTTTTCTTAGTCAATGGTTATGCAAGGAGGTGATTTGACTGAGACCGTGCTCATCTGCCAAGTTTTTCCCTTAATTAAGGGTACCCACTTTACAGTGACTGAGTGTGCCCCAGGAGGGTCTCCTAACTCTAGAACAACCTCACAGCTGATGAAACAGAATAAATAATTTTTCTACCATGAGCTGGGATTTGAACCTGGGATCTTGGGCATTAGTCAAGCTACTGAGCTACTCCACTGCTTATGGTTGGAAATGTTTTCTCAATGTCCAATTTAATCCAATATCCTTTTTTTCCACTACATTGTTTTAATTTTTTTTTCTTTTAGAACAGTTCTTTTCTCCTATTTCGTTGGTCAATGTTCTGTTCTGTTAAGATTTAGTGCTGGTCCAATTAATCAGTAAAATGACTTTAATATATTTTGAAGTACCAGTTATGTTTGTATTCATTAAATGCAAGGCCGCCTATAAAGATTGTACTATAAACGAGCAGTTGACTTGTAATTGAATGTGTTGTAATCTTGTAAGTGAATATATATTGAATATTAAAAATCAATAAATTAAATTTATTTCTTGTTATTGTTAATCAAAACTGACTGAAAGACAATAAGAAGATTGATATTTTATATTTCTTTCTATTAAGCAATAATTTATTTCTTAAACAGATAAAGAGAAATGAAAAAATGGCATTGCCACTTAAAATATAGAGGTCAGATTAAAATATTAATGCAACACAAAGTAACAAAATAATTTTATTTACTGTCATAATTAAAGCTTTAACATTTTAAAAATCAGTTTTCCCACAAAAATTACATTATTATTTAATAAGTATAATTCTACAGAAAATTAAAATACAAAAAAAAAGGGAGGGTTACATATATAAATTAATAAGCAAAAGATAAGAAAAATATTTAGAATGTGCACTAAAAAAAAAAAAAAAAAAAAGATAAAATGTGGTATGATATAATAATAACAAATTATATTGTGCACTGCCATCCTCCACATGATGATGGTTCAGCAGGACCATCAGAAACTTGGAATGTTTTACCACCATTGGTAGATTCCCATAATCCTGGAGTTTGAATTATCTGTAAACAAAATAAAACAAACAATTCATTGAAAATGTACTTATAATCAAAACTGGTAGGATAACGATAACCTATATACCACTGATAAAACCGTTTGTCGACTATAAGATTAAGAAAGACAGAAATTTAAAACCAATGTATTGTCTTACTAAAACAGCTTATTAAATCACAATGTGTTGAAATCCAAATATGTATAAATTTACATCATTGATATTACACTTCTCTCTCCTTTAATCATCATGGCACGACTTATTTGGATTTACTCATGTTAAACATTCACTCATATCTTCCACTTGTCCGGGAAGAATGCTAAAAGCAAATTTTTTTTTATTCTCCTTGAATAGTGTATCCTTTCGCCCAAGACCTTTTACTAGACAGTTCATCAAAGAGTGGAAGGTAACTATTTATATTTATTTGCCTTTCACCGTTAAACGGCTTGAAGATGAATCTTTCCATTTTCCACAGGAATTTCTCCTTCTTTTCTTCAATTTCTGCACTCCTTCTAGACATTAATCAATACCAGTATAAGATTATAGAAGACAACAATTTTAAAGCAATATATATTATCTCACGAAAATATGTAATTAAATTACATGTGTTGAAATCCAAATATGTACAAACTTAAAATAATAGTCTTTTCAATTGAATAATAAATTAGACGTCCCGGTTTTGGAGAGACAGACCCAATTTTGAACAATTGGTCCCTGTCCTGTGGCATTTTCAAGAAGTCCCTATTTCGGGAAAGAATACTCAAGCTAGGAAAAAGGAAGAAACTATATGTTTTTTGGCATCCATGGTGCTATTTTGCCAGAATATGAGTTTTGTATTATTTTGTTGATTTTATAATGTTAAAATTTAATAATAATGAATAATTGTTAAGAACTGATTTTTGAGAAGTGCTAAGCAAAGTTCGAATTGTTGAGAAGTTGTTAGAATTTGACCACTATCGTATGGACTTCATGATAATAATGTTTTAATCTTTGAATATTTTTTTAATGAGGTATCATTATTAAAAATATATATAGATAAGGAAAAGGTTAAATATTAGGCATCAGAAAATTAACTTCATTTACTACTTCGATAGTCGAAAGATTTTCACATTCAATTAGTTTTCAGCATTTTGAAAAAGAGCTGCTTGATTGCGAGTACAAACTCCTGTTGGCACAAAACATTTGTCTTAAAAACTATGTTATTATTGAAGTCATAAATAAGACATCAAATAAATCATCCAATTATTCGCTCTCAAAAATATGTCTTTAGATTCTCGCCAAATTCTTAACATTTTCTGGGTCAGGGGAGAGCGTAGGGGACTAAGGCCCTGGAACTGAGATGCGAATTCATAATTATTTCAGATCTTGTAAACTTCAGTTTATCAATCATCTGTTTGTCAAGCAACTTGTATGTTTCGCACAGGTGTTAGACCGCTCGGCCAACCTACCCCAGGGCAATGGTTTTCTGCTAAACCAATGTTAATATCTGGTCACCTTAGGTATATGGCAGGTAGACAGGATGATGCTAATTTGGACTCCAGCATTAAGCCAATCGGCTTATTCTACTATATTTTATGTTCTGCAAGTATGGGACACAAATAAAATTTTCACAATGACAACTCAACTAAAACTTTTAGCAATCATTAATATAATGAATTTACAATTTGCATTGTAAAATGGTTCTTTCTAAGAAAAATCAATTAATTCAAATAAATTCATAAGTATAAAATATTGTAATTAATTTGTATACTATTTATTTATTTGATAAATAGTATACAAATAACCAATCACTATCAACACAAATTACCTTTTGTACAAGTTCTTCAAAGGCACACTGAACACCATCCTTGGTCTTTGCACTTGACTCAATGAAAAGTGTTGCATGTCGTCTAGCAAACTTCATTCCTTCTTCCCTGCTTATTTCTCGTCCAGCCTAAAACACAAATTTGATACATTTATAAATTTTTAATGAATATCTTTAAATATTGGTAGGATAATTTTCAAAAATGAAACAATGCAATTGCTATTATAACAATATTGAGTTTGAACTTACATCGGTAGGGTTAGAATTTTCTTGTGGTGAAAAATTCAAAATATGTAAATAAATCTGCAGTTATTATTTCAGAAATATTGATTGATATATATTAAAAAATAAACATTAATGATTTCAATCAGAAAATATAAATATGTTCTGAAACCCTTTAACATTCCTAATTTGGATAAATTATGTTCCAAATGAATGTTAGTGCCATCAGTTGAAAAATAAAGAAAATAGCAGTGCAACTTAATTTTAACTACTGACAATATTTGAAACTAATTGCTTGCAATACTTGTGTGTTTGATGTGATACTTCATTGACAGGTATTCGTAAAGATCTGTTCTTAGTGTATAACTTTTTTGAATTGGTTATGTCAGTTCTGAGGTAGGCTTGTTGGATGGACAAACTCTTTTGTCTTGAAGGTAAAACAACATATCATTTCCGAATAAATGAAATCTTAGACCAGAAAACCTGTTGCACCAAGTAGTGATATGATATGCTGTTTTATCCTCCTGAACACAGAAACTACAGAGGGGCGACCCACTTAGCCTGATTTGAACAAATCATAATAGTTCAGTTTACAGAGATCAATATATATACATATATCGCTGTAATTTTCCTGTTCAAATTCATTAGCAGGTTGCTTCTCTTAGCACAGATTTCGTCCAAGAACAGTCTTGAAGGAGTCTGTTTTTTCAAACACCAATATTTCTTAGCTTTAGCACCATTAATCTCTCTGATCCTTCTTTTGATTGGAAACATGCTAATAGCACAGATAGATTCGGACAAAAAAACAAACAAATTTTACATTATTTATGTTGGGTTTTAGCATGTATCATAAGATAATCAGAAATTTTTTTCTTCTTCTAATTTTACTTAGGTGTTATTTCTATAAGAAAACATATAATTAATTATAACCACATGAGGAATGATTTAAAAGTAGAGTACTCCTGAAATAATTAACTAACTATTATTTTAATTTATTATTTATCATTTTATTTTTAAAAAAATAAAATAATTTAATAAATCAACATGTAAAAAAAAAAAAAAAAAAAGAGTACGAAATAGGTGTTGATAACCTCGGGGTTTTACGCCTCTGAGCCCTAAATAACAACCACAAAGAGTATGAAATATTTTTATTTAATTACGATTTTCCATGCATTGTATCCTCCATAAAATGTATACCTACTACCTATTACCCTTAATATATTCCAGTTAGCCTAATAATCCATTACCTTCCCCAATTGAACTGAATGTCAATAGTCATTTATACATACTGTAACTTTTTATAATTAATTATATATGTTTATATAAAATCAAATAACTAATATGTATTTTTTGTATCTTATATAGCCCTGATGAAGACCTGCAACGTAGGACAATATAATAGTAATATAATAAAATATATGAGAAGGAGTTAATCGGGAGGTGCAGTCAAATAAATACTAAATTAAAATATAGTAATTATTTAATTTTTGCCGACGTTTCGACCCACTTTGCAGGTCGTGTTACTTACCCTCCCGCAGTGCTACATCCTACGCCCCGAAGACGACCTGCAAAGTGGGTCGAAAGGTCGGCAAAAATTAAATAATTACTATATTTTAATTTAGTATTTATTTGACCTCACCCCCTGATTAACTCCTTCTCATATTATATCAACGGTCAACCATCTCTACATCATAATAAAGTATACTATTGTATAATACAGTATTTTTGACCGCACACCCGACAAACTTCTTCTGAAATGGAATCTATGGTCAACCATCTCCGTATCATTAAAATTTTGTCATATGAGTTCTAACATCACATTAGTGAATTTCTTCAAATTTAATGGAAGTACAAAAAAACAATCCTCTGCAGTCTAGGCGTGACATCATATCTAGAATACTCCTTTCTTGCTGATCAAGAAACAGTGAAGCTGTTGGTAGTAGGATGGTTATAGATTATGTTATCATATCAGAGCATCTTTTTGATGATGACAGTCACCTTATAAGTTTCATTTCCTTTTTTTTCATTTAGTCAGGCAAAATTAAATGAAATATTGTTTAAAATTTAAATAAAGCTATAGCAAATAATTGTTTAAAGGTTGAAGTAACAAGATTATTTATTTAATTATCGCACTAAAAGTATTTTACAGGAAAATTCAAATATACCTAAATCCAAGAGGCATTAAATAATCCGAACAATTTTAACTTCAAGTAAGTATTCAAATCCAGACATTTTAAAATTAAACTACTGATTACCTATTGATAAAATGATAAAACATTGCCTGCTGTAATTTCATTACGAATATATGCTATTTATTACTGATCATAATTATTTTGAAGAAATAGGCATTAATATGTAGATAATTGTTAACATTTGGTAGTAGGCATAAACCAACCATGTTATTCAACTTTAATTACCATAAAAATGGTGTATTAATTAAATAAGATTGAAACTCCACCATCATATGTATTACTGTCCTTTAGATACAAATGAAAACCATTAAATTTATGACTAACATTTTTATTTAAAATTACAATGCTATATCGAAAGAATTAGGCCTCGATAATGAAAAGTTTCAGCGATAAGCATTAGTGGTTGGCAGTATGGACTGGCGATCACTGCCGAGGGAAGTACCAACAAAATAGTAACATTACAAATACAGCTAACAATGCAGAGAAGATGTCAGTTTATCCTAACCAAGGGTCCAGATGGATAGATAACAGTTTTTTCTTTTATTTTATTATCTTATCCGGTTCATCCCTGATAGAGAATGGCCGCTATCTACCCTACGCCAAGTAATATAGCTGTTATTCATTGTTCGGCCTTTTACTCTCTCTCCTACCCTTATACTTTCATATGATTATCTAGTTGGTCCTTTGAATCATAATAACTCTTGTAGATAGGTGTGGGTGGTCCTCACTAGAATAACATTTCCTATACTTAACAAGGTCAGAAGATAGGTCTTCTCACTTGCACGAGCTGTGCATGTTAAGCAGTTGGTCTCTCTATCATAATTCGGGTCGACCCCTACCTTACCTTACCCATATGATTATCAGTGGGTCTTAGATACCTCTAAATATCTTTACATAGTTTTTGGAAACTGGTGATAAAAATCTAATTAATGATACAAATTGAGAAATATTCAAATTAAATTCAAGAAGTATCAAAATATGATAAACATTAAAAATGCATTTCCCACTAAGAGAAAGATATATCAAACAGTTATTCCTTATTGGTGCTATGCATAATAACAAGAAAAAGAAAATCTCGTTAAATAATGTAAACCATTATAAAAAGAAAAGTAGTAATGCCAAATGAGTAAGAATAATAAATGATTTAGAAATTGTCGGATTTTCAAGTACATAATAATTATATTGAAGTTCTTAGGAATCCCGAAGGTTTGATGCCAATACTGCTATTGCTGTCTACACATCTTCCTCCATCAGCTGCCGCCCAAACGCAACCTCACCAGATCAGTCTTCATGCAATCTTCCTACCTTTGCTTCGGTCTATCTCTCGAATGCTTACCAGTCGGCACAGCAAATATTAACTTTTGAGGAATTCTTTTATTAAGCCCAATGATATTACAAGTCCCTTTTATTTGCTGCTATGTACACACAATTTTAATATTTAATCTTAAAGCATTATAAATAAATAATCATCTAATGGAATATAAAATAAATATCATCTAATGGATAATAATGTTTTTTTCCATAATGAGTTAATAAAATTAAGGGCCTTGATGCAAGAACCAGGCTAACTACAAATTTTTTTTAAGGCAATTTGGTTTGTGATTTTAACATAATAGCTATTTTTAAGAATCAGGCACTAATGTAACATCACAACTTTGCAGTTACCATTCATAGGATGATTCTTGTATTTATGGAAGGTTCTAAAGTATTGTTTGAGCCTGATCAAACCTCATACCTCACATAAAACATTTGCTATTGCATGCAAAATAATATTTTGATAAATAAAGTTTAGTTTTGTTTAACAACACTTTTTAAATGAAAATGAGGATTTTTGACTATTGAGTTAAGTAAATGATGTCATCATATTTAGATTATTAGCAAACAAAAACTGTTATCCATTAGTGCCAAAAACAGGTATGTTCAAAAATTCAGGACAATAAAACTTTTGAATCTATTTAAAACTTGATAGCGGACTTAGCTGGTGTATTAGGTACTAGTTGAAATGTGTCATGTCTGGTTGATAGATGAGTCAAGATAACATCAAACACAGTCGATAGGATTTCATAAGTAGCCGAGGTTGACAACTATGTACACGGGTGGGGTAACTTAAGAGGACAATCACCGCCACCAACAGGTCCTTCTCAGCAAAGATCAGGACCATACCAGAGAATAATTGCCTATTATACTAACAAGAACACTGCAACATTTGAAATTTTATGTCCAGTATGATTGATGTTTACTTAACCCACCTGTCAAAATAATGTGACACTTGTGAAATGGTAAAGTTTCTAATTAAAATTTATTTGGCTAAAAAGAAAAAAAAAGTTTAAACTTGTGATAAACCATAGAATATAAATGGTTCTCGCATCAAAATCCTTAATTGTTTTATAAGCTTCATGACACTATTTACAAAACATTCAACTTAGTCCTCCACATGCTTAATTCCACTTAAAAAAAATAAAACCTCTAACCTTATCAATTTTATTCCCAACAACCATCTTAACAATGTTTGATTTTGTAGAATATGTATCTAATTCTGAAAGCCAGGTTTCCAATTTGGAAAACGTTGCTTGAGATGTAACGTCATATACCAAGATAGCACCTTGAGCATCCCGATAATAGCTAGGAGTGAGGGTTCTGAATCTCTCCTGTCCTGCTGTATCCTAAAAATAATAACAAAAACTATTTTTCAAATGGATAGAACATTCATTTCAAGAAAAAAACAATTTAAAGCTCTAGTGATTTAATAATGTAGCTAACTTACCCATATAGCTAATCTAACTGTATTTCCATCAATGGAAAGTTTCTTTGTCTTGAAATCTACTCCTATTGTTAAAGATTGATCTGGATTAAAACTATCTTCAGTGAATCGAAGAAGAAGACTAGAATTATTTCACTTTATTAGGAACATTAAAATAATAATGAATACTGACAAAAAACAATCATACCTTGATTTTCCAACGCCACTTTCCCCGATAATTAAAATTTTTAAAGTAGTTAAAACATCTTCTTCCATAATTAATTTCTAGTTAAAATTACAATTTTAAAGCCACAGCACCTAGAAAATATAAAAAAAATACAAAAACAATATTCCAGTTAACACTAAGTGCAACGCAATGTCAACTATCAGCTGTTCTATAATCAGAGATCAAGGACAACTTGCACTGAAACTTGCCTTGGATTACTTGCTGAATAAATTATCTGTCTTCAGCTAAGGATAACTTTATTTTTAAAAACATTAATTAAATAAATACAAATTTCTGTGAAAGCTTATTCAACAGAAATTCATTCCTAATATATAAGTAATAATACGAAGTTTTCAGTTCTCTATTCTAGCTGGTTACATGATACTCAACCTGTTGTTTTAGAAACTTCTTCAGGATTCGCTTCTTTTCATAATTGAGGTTTCTTCCGTTCCTAGGTGTTTTTTTAATGGACACGTGAAAATTATTTATTTAATTGAAGTTTTAAACTGTGCGCGATAATTTAATTTTTATCAAACTAAATGCTGCTTATAAGCCCGTGTCAAACTTTTCCTTATTTCTTGTAAAATATAATACTAATGAATTTGTAATCTGATATTTAGTCCGAAATCTTGTACCACTCTTTTGATTGATATGTAATTTTGTTATTCACTACAATTTAATCATCTTGTCAGTTCTTCGTTGGCTATTCAAGAAAATAAACATATTCATAGTATAACTGTAATTTATTTTTATTTTGGGAAATTTTAAATTAAATTCTTGAAAATGCCATCAGACGCAAAAAAGAAACAACAACAAAAGAAGAAAGAAGCTGCAAAAGCTAGACAAGTTGGTAATAAGAAACCTACCCAAAAAACTGAAAATGGAGAGGATAAAGATTCATTAACTAGCAACATAACTGGAGAAAGCTCAACAGAAAATGGATCTTTGGAAATTAGTGTAGAAGGTTAGTAGATACAATATGTAGTACAGTTTCATAATATAGTATTTATACTTAATGTATTGCTTTATACATATATAGAATTCTGCATGATTTGTTTACTAGGCAATAATGTAAATGGTTTCTATGGTCCCAATCATACATATCACTGTTGTGTGCTGGTCTTTTATAGTCGTTAAACTTGAAATAATATCAAATAAGTAAAAAAAAAAAACAATTTTGAATAAATTATTAAATATGTTAATCAACTATTCTATTTATCATTAGAATAAGCAGCATTATTCTTATACGTTTTCATGTTAATAATAAGTATTTATTATTATTATCATGATTCCAGATAGATTACCTACTTATGGTTAATGAAATAAGGTAATCATACATAATTCATTCTTATTTGATGAATTTTTAAAGTGTTTTTCTATTGCCATCAATCACTATCATTCGATTAATTATTGTTGAATATTTTAAATTTTTTATGAAGTTTTCTAAGTGGAATTTCATACTTTCAGTTTCTTATTGTAATATCGTTGTAGCGAATTTCAGAACATAGGAATAATACTGAATTGAAAGTTTATTAACCCTAGACTGGGCATGCTGGTTGTTTTTGTCAACCAGCTAAATAATTTCATCTCCAGTTTCCTGAAATTTTTATTCATGCCCTTCCAGCTGCTAATATCCATGCTGCTCCACATTCCTCTTTTTCCTTTAGTATAGTTTTGATTTAAATGTAGTGAACAATTGCAACATTGTTCATTATTGAGTCTTTGAAAAAAAATAAGAAAAAGGTGACTCAGAGAAAAAAAACAACACAAATCTTAAATTTCCTACTTTTCTGCTGGTAATTGCTTGATATTTACTATCAACCTTTTAAATATTTCTCTCTGCTTATGGGACACGCTGTATATTAAGGTTCAATTTCTTTTCAAGATTATTTAAATATAAGATGATTTATGATTTAAGACACTGGCAAAGCAGTTTGTCACATCTTTGAAAATTGTTATATTTTGAACTATCAATCATAGAATTTTCTAGTTTTCACCAAAATGTCTTGAGATACATGTTGAACAAAAAATTTGAAAAAATATTAACATACATATACCCCATTATTAATTATAATTGTGGTATTGTAATATTATTATTATTTTTTTTTTCCTTTTGGTATTTCAGATCATGTAGATCTTTTGCCGATTAATTTTTTTTTAAATTATCTATTATAATTGTATAGATTTTTAAATTAGTTCCACTTTGTTGCAGAGGCTCTTTGCCAAAAGTTAGAATTGGATGCACGTTTGAATGCTGAAGCTCGATCCTGCACAGGATCTCTGGCTGTGCACCCTCGTTCTAGGGATATTAAATTTGATAACTTCTCAATTACTTTCCACGGCAGTGAATTATTACAAGATACTAGACTGGAACTCAATTGTGGCCGGCGTTATGGTCTTATTGGGCTAAATGGTTCTGGTAAGAAAATAATATTTATATCATCTTTGCTACCTGGAAATGGTAAACTAGTTTTATTTTTGGTTTGAAGTGGAAGTTTGGAAGTTAACTGATCAATTGTTTTTAGGAAAATCCACTCTTCTAGCGGTTCTTGGAAATAGAGAGGTGCCTATTCCTGACCATATTGATATTTTTCATCTTAGTAGAGAAATGCCTGCTTCTGATAAATCAGCCCTGCAATGTGTAATGGAAGTAGATGAAGAAAGAATTAGGTTGGAGACTTTGGCAGATCAACTAGTTCAGTGTGAAGATGATGGTATGTAAGCTTTTTAGTTTTGAACTAAGAATTTACTTAACTTTTCAAATATAGCTTCTATCCTTTTTAATAGAATAATTAATGTAGTTATTTGTTTTTCAAGTATGAGAAATAGATGTATGAGTTTTGACAAGTTGTTTACCTTACTTGTGGTTTTTTTTTTCAAGTAATGATAAGTCGTCATAATAAATAACTACTTTTCTTGGTAATTTAAAAATAACTTTATTTTTAAAGTATGTAGTGTTGTATTCTAAAGTTTGTTGCTGTGTTGAGGCTAACTGTTGAATTCTTTTACAGTACCACTCTGAGTTTTGAATAGATTTTTATAACTTCATTTTGAACATTTTATTCATAATAAAAATGTACTCTTAGAGTGGTTATGAGATATCATTTTTTTTTTTTTTTAATTTTGACAATCTAGAGACCATATTTATAAGGTCAAAATTTATTTAACTTACATTAAAGTTTCTTTGGAGTTATGGTAGCGTCTCTAAGAGCTCTAACAATTAGCTCTTCAATTCGTAACTGAACTGTAGATCTAAAATTGTTAACAACGGTGTAGTGAGACTCATAACAGCAAAAAGTTAGCCTCCGTATTTTTTTTTTGTTTTACTTTCTATTTTTTATGATTTAGGCAATAGAAATATTTCTACAAATTATAGGGAACTCTAAAGGTGCATACACACTAGAGATATCATCATTTGATAACAGGTCGGCGAACAAAGATTTGTATATCATAGACGGTTAGCAATCTTTGTGTGGCCTATTTAATTAATTTAAATCAAAAGACGGTTGTGAGGGCTATATATCAGTATCTGCTTAAATGAGGGGAAGGGAAGGACAATAAATAAGTAAATAATATTAAAAAAATAGTCAATTTCTACCAATCTTGATAAAAGTGGCCACAGAAAAACTTCAAGAAGACTTGGATAAGATTTGTGATTGGGCGAGAGCCAATAAGTTGAAGTTGAATGCGCAAAAGACAAGGGCAATTTTAATTTGCTCCAATCAGCTCCTTAAGACTGTTCCACATATTCTAACTCTATTCCTACATGATAATCCCGTCAAATTTTATCCCTTTATCAAAAACCTTGGAATAAAATTTGATCAAACGCTTTCCTGGAAAACCATGTATTCATCAATTCCCACCTTAAAACGCCTAAATTACTTCCGTCACCTATTTCCTCTTGAAACCAGTAGGCTCCTGGTCACTTGCTTAATTTTTTCCACTTTGACTAATGCTGTATAAGGCGGTGTCACTGGGGATCTCGAGGTGAAACTAAAACGTTTAATAAATTGTTTTGTACAATTCATCTTCTGGATCCCAGGGGACGCCTCTGTTTCCCGTTTTTATGTAGTGCTGAAGTGGCTTTATCCTTCCTACCATTGTAAGTATTTCCTGGCATCCTTCCTCTTTCAAGTCATCCAATCCCACCGACCATCATACATCTCCGAGCTCCTCCAATTCAAATCCTCTGTTCGCTCCCGCAATACTCGTTCCAAGTCTTCTGATTTATACATAAGGGTCCACCACTGCTTTCGACAGATCGTTCATTATCCGATCCTCATCCTTATGGAACTCCATCCCTTCCCACATTCATCAATCCAATACCCTTTCTACCTTTAAATCCCTCATGTTCAATCAATCGAATATCAGAATAAATAAAATATTATTGTTATTATTATTATTAAAAACTCTGCCAATCTCGATAAAATAAAGTTGTGAGACTGATTTGTCGGTCTTTGCTCAAACTTATGTTTATGTAAATTCCTTCGTGACAGGTTGGCACATTTATTAGAAATAAAAATAATGCTTATTCCAAGTGAAACTCTATGAATTATGATAAAATAAGGTTGTAAGGCCGATGTATCGGTGTTTAGAGTATCAGTATTTGCTCAAATTTTGGGGAGAGAAAAGTACACAAAATAATATAAATAAATTTAAAAAATCGTCTAACCATACCAATCTTGATAAAATTAAGTCATCAGGCCGATATATCTTGATGATTGATTGACACTTTCATTCATCATTTACAAGGAATTTCAATGCGACGTTATACTGAACTACACACATAGAAACGCCTGAAATATAGGTTTATCAGTCAAAATTTGTGTATAGGCCGATGCTGAGGTGGTCTATTTATTCTTTTATTTAACAATAAGTAGAATATTCCATGTGAAACTATAGAAACTTTTTCAGAAAGAGGAAAAAAAAGGCAATATGTCGTCATATCGGCCAAAATTTCTATATCGGTCGATCCCTAGCTTAAATTGCAAGTTGGTTTTTTGACCATTCTTTAAATAGTTTGTATCTATGTGATAAAGATTTAATTTTTTAAAAGATGCATGTATGATTTACTAATTTACAGATATTTTTCTTATAAAATTCTATTTACAGAGTCTCAGGAACAGTTGATGGATATTTATGAAAGGTTAGATGATCTTTCAGCTGATACTGCTGAAGCAAGAGCTGGATATCTGCTTCATGGTCTAGGTTTTACAAAGGATATGCAAAACAAGAAGACTAAAGATTTTTCAGGTATTTAATTCTTAGTAATCAATTATTTCTAGAATCAAGTAAGCATTTCTTTTATAAATATCAGCTTATTTAGGAATGGTTTTATTATGGTCTTTTTGAAAATTATTTAAAAAAAAATGTTTAAAAGAAAAATTGAGACCCATTAAAAAAAGATTAATACAAGATGGTATAATGTTAAGAAAACAGAAAGGTCAAAATATTTAGAAAGTAGACCTGACAAAGTTTGGAAGGTATTGTGTTTAGCAGATGTACGTCTCATACTGACATCCATTCTCCCCCATCTATCTTCCCTCCGTCCTATTTTTTCAACTTAAAAAATAAATATGAACTTTTTTAGTTATTTAAAAAATACAATCTTAATCTTATTTACTCATTCCTTATTACTTGAATTCTACTGCAGCTCAATCTGTTAGGAATTTTTTTTTTATGTGATAATGTTTGGGAATATTTGGAGGAGAAGCTCTGGACACGGTGAAATTGCTCTATACTCAACTTTTCGCCAGAATGACATCTCTAACACATATGGTCAGAAGGAAAATGATCCTACCACTGTGACTCAGCCAGCTACTGTGCTGGCTGGAACATGTACACTTGTAAATGCCAATTCTTTCCTTCTTCACATGATTCCATCCCTTAAATTCCAAAACTTTTCTAGTGTCCTTTGTATATATACAAAAAATAACACTAACGGATGCTTAACCTCATATTTGCTGTAGCAGATTTTGTTTTATGAATATCTGATTCTATGAATCAACTTTATTGGATGTATTTCATCTTGCCGTGTTAAAACAGTTTCTGATTGTCATTGATAAGATAATTTATTTATTTAAAAAAATATACTTAGGAAAAGTATACCTGCCTTTTTCATCAAGACATAAAGTAAAAGAGAGAATTACCTGAGATCCCCTCTCCCCTCCGAGTATGAGATCCGGGTTAATTTTTCGATAGCTACGAAAGTTAGTATTTGAGGGTCTTTCGAGCTGCGAAATACAAATCTCAATAAAAATAATTGAGGAATAAATTTTTTTCTCCTTATAAAAATATTTGAACACACTTTGCTCCTCCGGTCAGTATAAATTGTTTGAATTTTTACGATTTTTTTTTTTTTGTTTTGTTTTGTTGGTAATTTAGTAATCCTAATAGTCATGGGTACAATCAAGAAAAAAATTCATACTATTTGAGTTATTCGCAAATTAGTGTTCTTTTCCTTCATAACTTTTTTCCTTAAATTTCGGAGGGATATGACTATAACATTTTCATTTGAAAGAGAAAAAGATCTTAAAAATGAGAGCTCAATCATTGGATTTGATGAAGTTATGGCGTTGTGACCAAAGAACATCTTTTAGAAATAATATATAAGAAAAAAATGAAGGCTGATTGACTTATCTTTTGTGGAATATCCATGAGTATTAATATTTTATTCTTTACACGAGTAAATATTGTTGAATACTTAAACATTAAATACTAATTAAAAAAAAAAAAAAAATTGTTATGTCTCTTGACAGTAAAATTGTTTGATTTAGAAAATATGTTAAAATATGTTAGACTGTATATGAATATTTAGTATTATAAATATTATACAATTATGATTAAATTAAATATTATATTAGTTGTTTAAATAATTATTAATTATTTTCTTATGCTAAGGTGGATGGAGAATGAGAATTGCTTTGGCTCGTGCTTTATATGTAAAACCCCATCTATTACTTCTTGATGAGCCTACCAATCATTTAGATTTGGATGCTTGTGTTTGGCTGGAGGAAGAACTTAAAACGTAAGGGTCATATTATTTTTATTCTTAGCTAGTTCATAATAATATTTTCATGGAAATATATTGCTTAAGTTGATTGTTAACAATAATTTTATGCAATAGGTTTAATTATTTGTGTTTCGTATTGAAATAAAGATATGAAAGCAGCTCTATCAAGTTTCTATTTAATAAAGTTTAAATCTTAAATCATTATTCTGGAAAGTTTTATGTCCATCTGGATATGAAACAGGGGATTTAAAAAGCTATTAAATTAAATACGATGATGTTGACGAAAGCTATGAAAGAAGCTATAGGAAAGAATTAGCTTTTAGAATAAAACAATAATTTTAGTTCTGGTTAGTAGTACAAAAGGTAATTTGAATACATCAAGAAATATAAGTACCTGATGGTCTACACTAAATAGAAAAAAACTAAATACTAGAGGAAATTAAGGCCTGTTGTTTATTTCATAGTTTAAAAATTACTCAGTTGCACCCTAATGCTTAAAACTTTAAATGTTAAAATTTATCATTAAAGTATAATATTTCATATGGTATTTTACTGATTTGAAAAGTGACAGTTTACATCAATAGAAGAACTATTAGTCCGCAGTACAGACCCCTTTTCATCAAATTATTAATATCCGTCTAAAACTTCATAAATGGTTTCATCTTATTGTAGCCTTCATGAGTTCTTAATACCTAATTAAATTACTCGATTTAATGAAAAAATGTCTTTTTCTGAAAATTTTCATAGATAAAAAATAATTCAATAAAAATGGTCTGTACCACAGACTCTATAGCTTAATTTTTTTTTAAATAAAAAATTTACATATAATATTTAGACTGAAGAAGGATGATTCAACAAGCGAGTTTAGATGACCCGGTAATGCAGACAGAATTTTGTAAATTGCACCTGGTAAATAAAATTGAGGTTTTAGCATTGGAGCAAATGGAATGGGCATGTAAAGTTGTGGCTTTATTAATTAATGATTTCTTTTAAATTAAAAAGCATTGAGCTGATTAGTAAATATTCAAGTAGTAGACTGCAACATAGACGAAAGGATTGCATTAAGGCTGATCTTATAGAGTTGGGTTTTGGACGGAGTTGTATAGATAGCAATTAATGATGGAAAAGTATTGTAGTGGTCGAATGAAATATAAATGGGATGAATCTTTTGGGTATGATCTTAAGGATTGAGAGTTTGGTAGAATATAGTGGAAAGTGTTGTTTGCCAAGGACATGATTTGTTACCACCATCAAATCTCTCGGTTTAATCAATTTTTATTAGTTTATTTTAATATAACTTTTTTTTCCAGGTACAAAAGAATTTTAGTCATTATATCACATTCTCAAGATTTTCTTAATGGTGTTTGTACTAATATCGTCCATCTGCATAAGAGAAGATTAAAGTATTATACAGTAAGATTTACTATTTTATTAATTAGGATAATTTTCCATTAATTGTATTATATATTAATTTATTGCTACTTTATTATTTTTTTTTTTTATCTAGGGAAATTATGATGCTTTTGTTCGAACAAGACTTGAGTTGTTAGAAAATCAGATGAAGCAATATAATTGGGAGCAAGATCAAATAGCTCACATGAAAGTAATTACTTTTATAGTTTTATTAATTATTTTAAATTTAATACTACAGTTTTCATCTGCTATGATAAAGTACACTTTAAGTTTGAATTCCTTTACACATTGTTGCAAACAAGTTATTTTTTCAAATTTTATTGATTATCTAATTTATTTTTTCAGAATTATATAGCCAGATTTGGTCATGGTAGTGCAAAACTAGCTCGACAAGCTCAGAGTAAAGAGAAGACATTAGCAAAAATGGTTGCTGGTGGACTTACTGAAAAAGTTATATCGGACAAAAATGTTGTATTCTATTTTCCTTCATGTGGGTCAATTCCTCCTCCTGTCATAATGGTTCAGGTATTTTCTATTATTTATTTTTAAATTTTTTTTTGCAAAAAATTTTGTGAAATAAAATTTGTATGTATTTAATAAACATGTACTATATTTTTAATACAGTTGAATAGATTGTTAGGTCTCAGGGATGAGAGGATAGATTTAGACCAAAGAGGTGTGAAAAGAAACGGAATTTCCAACGGAAAATTGTCCAGTCTCAATAACTTAAATAAAATAAAATGAAAATAATTTTATTATTCTAGGACTAGTGTTCCTTTATAATAAATTATAAATACAGGATATAAATTAACATGTTGGTGTGTCCATAAAGTAAAATTAAATATTTACAAGATGATTGATAATAAAATAAAAGTATATATAATGATAAGATATTAAAAATGTATATAAATATAAAATAAACAAAATATCAATAAATCACCAAATAATCAAAGTATCTGTAGGTGCTTTGAGAGTCTTAGGACTCAGATTTTTAAATGAATTTCAAGATTAACCGGATTGGGAATGGAATAAGTGCTTGAAGAGGAGAGTTTAGAAAGAGGATATTGACTTTATGTGTCGAATATCAGAAGGGATAGAATTCCAGAGGGAGATGGCTTGAGTAAAAAGAATTTGTCAAATGCAGCAGTTCGGTTAGGAGGAGGATAGAGGTGGGACGTACGGGATCTGGTGGGATGGGATTGAATGGAGGATTTGTGGAATATAGGAGGATCGCTAAGTTCTATTAACCTGATGTAGATAGGTAGCAAAGAAATACTGAGCGTGGTAGGGCGGATAAAGCCACTTCAACTTGGTGTAATACTGGGTAATATACGAATCTCTTGAGATCCCGATGATGAAGTGTATTGAACAATTCATTAGATGTTTAAGTTTGGCTTCGAGTTCTCCCGAGAGTCCACAGCCATGGCCGAAGTAGCGGAAAACAATATTTGGAATCAGGAGTTGACGGGTTTTGAATGGAGGGAGATCGCGAAGCTGGTTTGACTGTTTCAGGGCGGAAATAGTATCCTGCTTCGTTTTAACCTCCCAAGGATGAAGGTCTAATTGTTCAGATGTAATTATGTTTTGTTTCATCTGTCGTGCCTGAAAAACTTTCTTCTTACTGAAATTATTGTTTATTTTTTCTCTGGTTGGTCAGAATTCTTGAAAAAATGTTATTTTATAAGAAATTATTTATAATCTTGATGTTATATCCTAAATATAAAAAAAATCATTTTAATTTTATTTAACCTCTTAATAATATTTCTTGTTGTTTTAGAACGTTAGCTTTCGTTATAGTGAAAGTACTCCTTGGATCTATAAGAATCTTGAATTTGGTATAGATCTGGATACACGATTGGCTTTAGTAGGTCCGAATGGAGCTGGGAAAAGTACACTGCTTAAGTTACTGTATGGTGATGTAAGTATATTACCATTTTTTTTTTTTTTTTCTTTACTGATTCCCTCTGGGCAATTGTGGTTGTTAATTTGTGTAAACATAACTGATTGTTTTAAGTAGGCAATTTCATGTACAATGAAATCCTGATGATTCATTAATTCAATGATTTAATAATATAATATAAACTAGCTAAAAGGCTAAAAAAAAGAAAAATTTCACATTTGTTTTTGTCTTTTTATAAACATGTAGATATAAGAAAAATATTTATAATTTTTAAATTATATTAGAGTCAGAATACAAATTAAGAACTCTTAACAGATGCAGAGAATTGTATGGTCTAGAATTTCAGAAAACAGTTTCATCTCTGTTTTTTTAAAATTTCTTATTAATATTGGTCTTGTCTTAATTTGCTATTTAAAAGAGATATTGTATTTTAGATTGAACTAATGATTAATTTAGGAAGGGTGACATTTTTACGATAAGTAGGAAACTCCCCTGAGTCAGTGTATGAAGTTTGATTGCTGTGAGTGCATCCGTTCATTTGTAAAAAAAAAATTTAAAATAGCTCTTTCCATTTTGGCGAAAACATGAGAGCTAACTGCTGGTTGCAAGGCAGGACTGTGAAATTTTGTTTTCTGTTTAGGAAAAAGCTTGAGGTATCCCTTGTGATGCTTAAAACAGCTTATGTGGATGATACTCCAAGCAAAAAACGTGTATACTAGTGATTTTCATGTTTTAAGAATGTACATACATACATATGTGGCGCGACATCCCGTTACCGAGATTGGACCTCCTCCAAGAGCCCCCGCCAATTGGCTCTGTCTTCTGTTGCAGCTCTCCAGTTCTGTACACCAAGCAGGGTTCTCGCTTCATAGGCCACGTTGTCCAATCATCTCGTCCTCGGCCTTCCTACCCGTCTTGCAAGGTGCATCTCCTCCATCATTATTTTCTTGGGTATTTCAAAGGTGCTCATTCTGGCCACATGCCCTGCCCACCTTAATCTGGCAAGTTTAATATATGTGACTATGTTGATGTCTGTATAAAGAGAACTGAGCTCCCTATTTTTTCTTTTCCTCCAGACATCACCCTCCTTTACTGGACCATAAATCCTTCTGAGGAATCCTCGGTCGAACACACTCAGCTTCATCTCATCACTTTTCGTCATCATCCAAGCCTCTGAGCCATATGTCAAAACAGGCCTTACAAGGCTCTTATATAGAATCAGCTTGGTCTTCTTTGAGAGAGACCTACTTCCTAAGTGTCGGCCAAGTCCAAAGACACATCTATTGGCAGCCATGATCCTTCTCTGTATTTCTTGAGCCATGTCATTTTTGCTATTTATTTCATACCCAAGGTATATAAAACTTTTTACTCTCTCAAACTTATAAGCTTTTTTCTGTTTAGGAAAAAGCTTGAGGAATCCCTTGTGATGCTTAAAACAGCTTATGGGAGTGATACTCCAAGCAAAAAATGTGTGTACTAGTGATTTTCATGTTTTAAGAATGTAGAGATTTCTATTAAAGACCAATCTCGTTCTGGACGATCGTTCACACCCCTACCTCTCTTATTTATCAGACTTAGCCTCCTGCTACTTCTTCTTGTTTCCTAGACTCTAAAGGACTCTTATCTGTCAATACAATATATCTGAAACAATTATTGTAGTCTAGAATGTAAAAAGAAGAAAAATATATAATTTTTTTTTTAGAATAATAGTACGGTTCTGAGAAGGATGATTTTGATCATGAGATGTGAATTAAAGGCAAAAATAAAAATTACTATTAATATCTCCTTAATCCATACTTCATTTTTGTTTATAAAGAGTCAAGAATTTTTTTAGAAATTAACAATTTATTTAGTTTTAGTAGTTATGAGAATATAAGAATTGTTCTCTATTTCTGAAGAGTATTTTATGTTGCAGCTTTTTCCAACTGAAGGTATGATTAGAAAAAACTCTCACTTGAGAATGGCTCGCTACCATCAGCATCTTCATGAATTGTTAGACTTGGATATTTCACCCCTGGATTACATGCTTAAGTCATTCCCGGAAGTGAAGGAAAGGGAAGAAATGAGAAAAATCATAGGAAGATATGGTCTTACTGGAAGGCAACAAGTTAGTTATTGTTGAATTACCATTTTTATTTAAGTATATTTTTTATTAATTATTTCAACATATTGTTAAAGTATTCAGTTTGTAGCTGTTTTTACTATCAGTTGGTTTATTGGTATTGCTCAAAGAAGAGGAGCTTGCCTGTCTAATAAGCAAAGTTTAAAAACATTTAATCACATAGCCAGAACTGATGGTTTTTTCTTCATCAAGAACAGAAATAATATGAGCCCATAAGCCTTGGAAGGGTCATAGGAAAGATAAGTAGCTTCTTTGGATTTAAATACAAAGCACACTTAAACTTTTCTCCTAATCGTTGGAGCTTAGCTAAGTGCCTAACTGTCCCTCAACTACTCAAATGTTTAATTAATTTGTTATATAGTATTTTGTTCAGTACCAATGCTCTCATCTGAAATTTATTTATTCCCCGATTGGACTGGAACATGCCATTGTGCCAAAATGTCTTTAATTTGTCAAATTTCTTTTAATAAAGACAATAACTGAACCTTAATTCCTGTTCCAGTCTTCTGGATCAATCTAGCAGTACTTTCCTTGAAATCTTTGGTATTGACCAATATATCGAATAGTTCTATTCAGTATTACTAGTATTAGACTATTGGAACTTCTTTAACCCAAGACAGGTCCATCCCGCCTTATGAGACACAAAACATTAACTTATTTTTCTTTGGCTGTACAAATTAAAGTATTTAGATAATAACAATATGATTAATTACTTTCCTGTGACAGGTTTGCCCTATCAGGCAGTTATCTGATGGTCAAAGGTGTCGAGTTGTATTTGCCTACCTGGCATGGCAAGCACCTCATCTTCTTTTACTTGACGAGCCTACAAATCACTTGGACATGGAAACAATAGATGCTCTTGCCGAAGCGGTTAGAGATTTTGAAGGGGGAATGGTCCTTGTTTCCCATGACTTCCGGCTAATTTCTCAAGTAAGTATTGCTATTTGTTTAATACTTACTAATCCAAGATCTATTAGATAATCAACTTTCAATTGTTATAAATAAAGTAATTTACAATTATGGCAACTAAAGTTGATATAAAATTTAATCTGAAATATATGTACATAAATTATAGAACTTCGTTTACACCAAGAATATGGTTGGTGCATTGAAGAAGGGAAGCAATGATTATTAACAATAAAAACGAAAAAACATTACAATCCCACACATATATTATTACAGTAAGGCTCAAAATCGATTTTGCACCAAATATGAGCTCCTCTCATGCTCAAATGCCATGAACGGGGTATCGTTGGGTCCAACATTTCATGTGAGATTAGCGAATCATACTCTCCGCTTTTGTTTTTCTTTCTAAAATAAATGTAAGTCGATATTAACATTGTGCTAAGTTTCAATACTAGAACAATGGTGTCTATAGATTGATACGGGACAGAAATTGGGCTTTGAAGATTTTTATGCATACACCAAGACTTAAGCGGTACTCTGTTTTCAAGCCTCCCAAAATGTACCATTTTTGAGATAATGCTAAGCAAATTATTCCCATCCACACAACCTCACATTAATTGTATTGCTGTCATGGGATACGTTGTAGCTTGCTTACCTTTCTCTAACGTTTAAGGTTGATGCCAGAATGCACAAAGTGCCTTATGTACTAGTTTGGTTAGTGTGGGTATTCATTGGAATGAAACAGAGTGAAAATGAGATGTAAAGCCAATCTAATAAGAGTTTCACCATTAAATTAAATTTCTTTTACATTTGGTAATTTGTTATTCTTCTATAAAAAGAATAAAAAATCACTGCTAAAAAGGGTTCGAATTTGTACTTTCTAGATGAGCGGTTCATTTTTATTACTGAATAATCGTTTAAAAAAATAAATGAAATAATAATGAGGGGAAAAATTAAAATATTCTTAAGGTATTTTTTTTTTTTTTACTTTATTTATATATCATACAATAGAAACGGTCCATTACATTGCTGGTGGGATTTGTCATCCAATTCTAGTTAAAATTGAAACAATTTCAAGCAGACTTCAGATAATTTGTATAATGTCTGAAGGTTTTAACAAATATATTTACTTAATGTTCCTTGTGGAGAAGTAATAGAGAAAATTGCTTATTGAGGCAGAACGATTACCCATGAACTTGTCAAGATAAGAAGCTTTTGCAGAGTTCCGGATGATAACAGGCCACAACCACCTCAGGAAACATATGCATTACAATAGGAGTGGCAGACTCTCCACATTGCAATCTATTCCATTCAGGAACATATATGGATGCAGAATATTTAAGTGTTTGCTTGCACTTATTGAATTTCAGAGATACCATGTCATTCCAAATCAGAATGGTAAGGGGCTGCTAGGTCATCTAATGGTGGAAGCCGATACAGAGAGGCATAATTAAAAAAATATATATTATTCCTTATACAAATGTTATTTCTCAATGCAGTTTTTCAAGTGTTTACCATAACTTTTAGTAGTAAGAGGCCAGAGAACAAAGTAACAATTAGCTCAACTTGAAAAAAAATAAGTACTCATAAAAAATGTTAAAGTGGTACAGTTTAGTAAATTTCAATTGTTTTTTGTTTTAAAAAAAAAAGTAAGGAGGATCATATATTGTAAGAAAAGGTATTATACTTGCTGTGTTTTCTTTCTTTCACTTCCAATGAGCTTCTCTGTGGTAACAATTATAGTCAACAGTACCTCCACTTAATTTATATTATATTATTACAGAGTTTATTAGGAAAGGTGGAGGAGAGGGGGAGAGAGAGTGTAATAAAAAACAAACACTAAATTAGGCCTAAGTTTTAGGTCTTCATCAGGGTGACAGATTTAAGGATCTTGCAAGATCCTCTTGCTTGCTGTGAGATTACCCGTTGCCCTTTTGAAAAGGAATAGAACCTCGGCTGAAAATTTGACACATACAAATGCGTTTTCCTATTTATTAGTGTATATAGTTTTCATTAGTGTATATTTTGTAGAAAATATAGTTTTCATCACTCACTGACCTTCTTCCCACTCCTCTACCAACTTCTGCAATTAGTTCTGCTATCTACAATACCTTCACCTAAAATATATTACAACTATTTTTTAAATCACCTTTGTTGTTGAATTGAGGTGATTACATTGCGGCGAATCAAATGGGCTTGTAAAACTTTTGGGCTTAGCAACGAAAGAATATGTATAAGGTTAATATTTGATGTGCCGAATGTTAAATGTCTGAGGGGTAGACTGAAGCAAAGGTGGGAAGATTGCGTTAAAGTCGATCTGAAGGGACCTGGTTTGGACAGTGAACGGTGGAGGTAGGTGTGTAATAAGCGATTGGTAGTGTCGCCTTCGGGTTCACTAAGCCTTTAATTATTATTATTATTGGTGTTGTTGATTTTATTTTATATTTTTCTGAAGGGTTGTGATGTTTTTAAAAAGTTTTCTGCCCAACAAATTCATTTTAACTATCCTTGATCAATTACCTGTTTTTTGGGGTATTTAACTATTTGGGTTGGTTGAGCAAGTTTTTGTATCCATTTTTATTTATTGAGCTTTTACTAATATTATTTAACTTTCTTTCAATACTGTTATATTAAATTTGCAGTTCAATGTTTTGTGAGAGTTTAACAAATTTGTATTAATTGTCAATACAGGTTGCTGACCAAATTTGGGTCTGTGATAACGGAGCTGTTACCAAATGGCAAGGTGGAATACAGGATTACAAGGAACACCTTAAAGCTAAGATAGTGAAAGAAAAAAAGAAATAGAAACTACAAATAATACAGAAAACACACTTGTTACTTTATTTTCCTATGCACTGGCGTACTTCCTTACATCATAAAATGTTTATTTTAACCATACTTTGGTGTGTCACCACAGTTTCTTCTATCCTTTCTTTTTCAGAAATACAGATTCTTTTTGACTTAAATGTTACAAGTTTATTTTTTCCTATGCAATATCCTTATATATATTAATTTTAATTGTATTTATTAAATGTTCTGAATGAATGTTAAGAAATATGATGTTATGAGAAGTTGAAGTAAAGAATACTTTTATAAAAGTTGACTTAAATTTATTAATATAAAATTAAAACATTTTGGTAAGCTTGTTAAAATGCTTAGTCCTACAAGGATAAATGAGAGTAGGAAAATATTGTAAAAAATATATACAGGTATACTTTTAAGTCTTAAAACTGTTCTTCCGGTCAAAACTGTTGTCATAAACGAAAAAAATAAGGTTGTATAAAACATTGGGTAAGACCAAAGTTTGTGAAAAGACAAAAGAACACTATTTTAAATTAATTAGCAACGGTTGTATACATTTTTTTATTCTTTTCACTATGAGGTAACTCCACATATAAGGCTCATTAATTTGATTCCCTTCATGCTCCATACCTTGAAGGCATACTACATGAATTACAATTGTTTATATGATATACATGATCATGCTTTTGTTTATATGATATTCTTCGTTTTACATGATATGAATTCTTAGTACAAAATTATATATATTAGTAAATAAAAAAAAATTTAAAAAACAAATAAATTAAACACCGCAGTCAATTCAACAAAGCCAATAAGAAATCGCCTATGCTGCCCATCATTGGTAAATAAGTTGAAGTCGATAGATCTAATAAATTTAAGAAAGTCTGTCTTGAATTCAGTAAATAAATTTTGTTCTATCTCAGGCCAATTTCCATTTTTTATAACTACGCTTTTTATTAAATAAAATCGTTCAGAGTCATATATTATGTTTTAAATTTTGAACTTGTCCGTCTTCATCACATAAGTCTGTTTGTATAATGTCGAATCTTTTAAGATATTGTTTTGCATTTCCATGTTCTGTAAGTTTGTAGTCAGTACTGTGAATGCGTCTGTAATTGTGAAACATAATGTGTGGTATAAATCTGTGTAAGCTTGGTGATTTGGTTGAAGTCGCCCTTATTTGATTCCATTTTTTGATGAAATCCAACTTTAAATTAATCTTAATATGAGATAAAGGAGCTTGATGATACGAAGGCAGCAAATCGCTTTTAGCTGCCTCTTTTGCAAGGTAATCGGCTCGTTCATTACCCTCAATTCCACAATGTCCTTTTACCCATTTTAGAGTCACTGCGTTCTCTACAGTTTTCAGTATCTAAATTATTAACAGAATCTAGTAGAATTTTGTTGTCTGTATTTATGGTAACGTGTGTGTTCATTTTTAGAGGGTAGTTATATATGTATTCGGTCACCTTCGAATTTTTCTGTCTGGTTATTTGAGCAATGTGATTCTAGTTGATGTTCTAGATTCTTATCATTTTGAGCTCTAAATAACCATGAATATCCTATGTTCTCACTGTTCTTACTACGGTCAGTAAAAAACCAGTATTTTTTTTTTAGTTAATTTTTGGTCCAGTCCATCAACTTGCAGTTGCAGGGTGTAGCCAAGATTTACAGTCAGTGATTCTTTTTAGTTTGTCCAAGGTCAGATCTTTGTATCCTTTCTTTCATTTTCTAATGTTAAATAAGGTAATCCATTCTTCAATTTTCATTTGGATTGGCAACATTCCTGCCAATAATATTATGGCCTCTAATGAAAGTATACGATAGCTCTTCATATCTTGATCGCAATTAACCTCTGAAGCCTCTCCAACTTGACCAAATTTTTCTTACACTTTACAGCTGGATGCCAGACATGCACAGCGCAGAGCATCTTAGGAAGTACAGCAACTTCATAAATTTCTCTCAACAGTTCTGATCTGAGACTCCATGTCGTTCTAGCAGCTACTGACAGTCCATTTATAATCTGTAAAGTGTTGTTATATAAACTGTCTAAATGTCTGTTCCAATTCAATTTTCTGTCAAAGAGGAGCCCTAAATATGATAATGTTTCACATTTCGTTAGTCTTACTGAATTGAGTCGTATATTCAATTCTGGTAGAATTTTTTTTTTGTAAAGATTATATATTTTATCTTTTCTAGATTAAAATTAAGTTTGTTGCGTTTAGTCCATTGCCTCAGCTTTGATGTTATGTTTTCTTTTGTCTGTAATTCATCAAAATCTCTTCGTTTTATAAGTAATAATAAATCATCAGCATATGCTAATAATGTTATATTTGTCTGTAAGTCTGTTTCGAAAACAGTATTTATTGAGATGTTCCATAGAAAAGGTGATAGTCCTGATCCTTGAGCAGTTCCTAGCGTCAATATAATGAAAGTTTGTTTGGATTGCAAGTTTTCTTTCTGAAAAATAATTTTGAATGAATTATATGTTTTTTAGACAGTTATATTTCTGTAAATGATTTAACATCACATGACACCAGGCGTTGTCAAAGGCACCTATGACATCCAAAAATACAACTAGTAAATTGGATATATATATAATTCCATCTTCCAGACCACATCCCGATTCCTGATGTGGAATCACTCGGCGTTGCTTAACTTGTATACCTATTGCAAGCCCCCACTGCTACCCCAGCCCCTATATATATATATATATATTTATCTTTATGCTTTTGGATGATGAATTGTTATATGATAAAATAAAATGAATTAATCTCATTTTGAAATATGAAGTTTTCTTCAGTGAAACAAAAGTCCTAATGAGGATTAATCTAACAATGGAAATTTACAGAGCCTCCATTATTATAAACCTCGAAATTAAGAATGAGACAAGCTTACTTTTCAGAAAAAAAAGTATTTTAAGATAATATGTGATTGGAGACCATTTTGATATGAGAAGGGAGAACAATAATTGGTTTGTTATTTCTTGATGAAATATTATTTTAAGAAGATTAATCTCTTTCACTAGAAGCATAAATTCTTCAGTAACTCTATATAGCCTCAAGATCCGTCTTTTTTTATGATAGTAAAATTAGTTGTTTAATGCTCTTATATATTCCAATTTAACTTTGAGCAAGAAAGATGTTATCCTCCTGCTAAACACATGTTCCAATCAGAGTGCATAACCTAAGATTTATTCCATGGATTCAACACCAAGTTAAAAGAACCTGCACAATAATAAATCAACCATCCGAAGACTTAAAAGAATTAATTTAAGAATAATTTGACCCCCTGTTGAATAAAGAAAGCTTGCCAAACCTGCTGGCTGAATGTGTTACTACTTAAAATCTTCATTTCCTTCCTCTCAGCTCTGTTAAAATCCTCCCATCTAGTTTTTCAGCTCTAATTACTTTAATATTGATACCTTATAGCCCAATATTCTTTCCAAGAGATGAAAAGAATGTTTAAATCTATGTGAATTAGATTGGATTGGAATGTTTAGCTTTGCAGTTTATCCTGCTAAAGTGAAACTGATATTTTCTAAGATTTTGGTTAGAAAATGTACCTCTTCAGGAATAAATATGCTTATATAGTTGCGTCGCACAAAGTATAACCTAACTGGTTTTATATAAATTATAAAGCTCTGTTTATCTAATGAAACTAATTTCTATAATGTCTATTGCCATTACACATATTATTTTTAGAAAATAGCCTGTTATTGGAATGAGATGATTTCTTTTAAGGGTAGGTATTGAAGAACTTAAATGTTTAATCATGATTTAGAAATTTTGGCATAGTTTCAAATATATCTTACTGAATTATTAGCTTATGCTCACTCTTCAAATTGAAAATTATGTTCTAATGACTTATATTTTATTAATATTAAATCCAAAATTGGCACTATATTATACTACCAAATAAGAATTATTTGGTTTATTTAGAAGGAAACTCGTTTTGATATCCTTCCAAAATATACCCATATAGTGAACAAATGAGGAAAGGTATGAATTAATGTTAAAGTAAGTATTGGTATTGCTTGAAACCTTATCAATGTGAAGTATTTAATTTCTATTATATCTAATAAAATATTTTAGTGTTTGGTAATTTCTTTTTATTTTCTCTATCTTTGTGTTGGAAATAATTTTAATTTCTAATGATTGATTTAAATTACCTACATTTCATGATTTATTTATGAGAAACAGGTCTACAACTACTAATTCTGAAGAATTCAATTGATAATAATCTAATAAAAATATTTGTTTTACTTTTTACATAATTTTATTTTTATATTTCAGCTTGTTTTATTTTTAAAATTAAATTCAATCCTGGTTTTGAATAACTAATTAAGTCAATAACAGTATATTGATAGACTTATGTTGATCAAAGGGACTGTTTCAGTAATCCTTGTGGGATGACCTTTCTACTGGAGGTTCACTTTACCTCTTAGACCCTGTTGATTCAATACTGGCTTTCAAGTTGAAAGAAAAACATTTATAAGGTCAATAACTCTAAATCAAGGTAAGGGTACACTTTTTCCCCTGGACTATTCTTGTAGATGAAATGATTAATTATCAAATATAATTTAAATTTTGTTTCAAGATATAAATTGGTATTAATTGGAGTTTTTGAAAAAAACAAACAAAATTTTCAAATTAGATAAAAGTTAAATTATGTTGTTTTAAATTGAATATTTAAAGTTTTATTGTTATAATAAATATATATTTAAAAATAAAATTATAAAAAGCAAGCTTTGAAACAATGAATAATCCAAGTTATTCATTGTTATTTTTACATTTTTAAAAACTTGAATAATCACAAAATTATCCTAGATATTAAATTAATTGTTTGAAAAGTGAAAAAACAATTCATTGACGAGATAAAAGAGGAAAAGTGAATAAAAATTCAGAAAATTTTCACACTTAGTTTCCTTTTAGCCTATATATAATAAATATTCGATAAAAATATTTCGAGAAAAAATTAATAATTCCTTCACATCAAAATTT